TTTGGATCCTTCTGGCGCGTGGCATCCCTGTTGGCTCGAAGCATCTTAACTTTATATATATATATATATGCAAACAATAAGAGGACAGACGCATAAAAAAACTGACGTCGATTTGTTAAACTGGTTGAAAAACTGGATGTACAGTAAAAAGCTATCGAAAAGGAATGCCGTTCGACATGGGCGATTCATGTTCATTGAAGCAAAGAGGATTGTGGGATACGCATGCATTGCTCAATCAATTCGGCTATCGGAAAAAAACAGCTACTATGTGTCCGATATGTCCGATTTACGAAACATTCGAGGTTTAGTTTTTAAATTTGTTTTTAAAAGCACACAGACTGGCAAGTAAAAACAAACGACATAATCTCCCGACGTTTCGGCGACCTCATGACGCCATTATCAAGGGTACAAATAAGAATTAAGGTTACTTCAAACCTTCGCAGAGCTATACTGGTCGATTTTTTTTTGGTCAAGAAAATTAATGTTCGCGAAGCACAAGTTTGCATACCGTGAACGCTAGGGGTTCTGTTATTTCATTGGCTCGCGGCTTTCAAGTTGACACATTCCTCTGGGAAGGGTGATATGTTTATAAATCTTTAGAAGGCGAAAACTCGCACTCGTTTTTCGAGAGAATCCCTTCTCTTTAAATGAATTAATAGGGTATGCAGATTTGACGGTTTTCCATGAAATTTGGTCAGAACWTTCACTGATAGATAKGGAACAAAAGCGTGTCGGCGAATTCCTTTATTTTAAATACTTTCCTCGTGGCGGCCTTTAACGCAACAGGTTACGCGAATTTTTCGATAGTCAAACTTGACAGATCTACAAAAACATAACCAATAGAAATAAAAGAAAATGCTGACACGTTTTTGTAGATTGAGGTTTTGTGATTAACACTGCACAGTTATTTTCCATGAACGATCGCATTTGATACCCGACTAATTCGCTGGAACGTCAGTCGGTCATTTTGGAGTTGACGGCCTCTGTCGCCTTTGGAAAGCAAAATCCA